GTAGTGTTTGAGAGAATGGCTTAAACCAATGCAATAGGACGCATCTTTTTGTGTTTTGCTCAATGTATGTGCAATGTTTCAAATGTAGAGCCTAAAGAAACTGCCTGAACCAATAAAATAAGTTATTCTGTTTTGTGTGGTTTTGCTCACCGTGTTGCAGTGTTATTTGTAAAGAGGTCAAGAGAACAGCCTAAACCAACAGAGTAATTAATAGGTTTGTTATTTTTGTGTTATGCTCAGCATATGTGCAATATTTTTTGTGTAGAGGTCAAGGGACCACTGTGACCGATAGGATAAATCATTCATGCCTCATTTTATTTTTGTTTTGTTTACCGACGTTTTTCGTATAGACGTCAAAATATTCTCAAGAGGGCTTTGTTGCGTCTTGTGCAGAGCTTAAAGGAACTGAACCATGCAATACTGTGCTTCGTCGCACCCTGTGATATACTTGTCCTAGTTTTCTCAAGCATCTCAGTGAAGAGCGATAGTTTCTCATGTAAAGTTACATATTTTCCACTTGTATGTGGTTTATGAGATGTTTTTAAGCATTTAATATCGTTGGTTATTTTGTCAATGTATGCATTTCAAATACAAAAATGTCTTCTGGTTTTAGCTTTATGCTCTTTTTAGTGCTTTTGTCCAACATTTTCTTGTAGGCTTTAAATGAATGTTCCCATCTGGAATGACACATGCAGATTGTTCAACTTTCATGAAGTAATAAAAGTGTATGACTTGAGCTCCATCTTTTCCTTTTAGGATTTGGTCTTTTTTCCTTACACTCTGTTCACAGCTAAGGTGACCAGTCGATGCAAGTGACATGCTTGCTGTATGAGTCAATCGCCTGACTGCTCTCTGCGGGAAACTGATTGTTGACTGGTCTAGTCAGCACGGTATAGCATCATCCCGTCAGCTTTGCGGTGAATGGAGTATAGGGGACGAAATACAGGACTAAATACAAGGGATCAAATTTACTCCGATGGGACTAAATACAAAGGATAATATTTACTCCTGCAAGACTAAATGCTAGGGATAAACATTTCCTCCCTTGGGACTAAATGCTAGGGATAAACATTTCCTCCCTTGGGACTAAATGCAAGGGATAAACATTTCCTCCCTTGGGACTAAATGCTAGGGATAAAGATTTAGTCCTTTGGGACTAAATGCAGGGGATGAACATTATGTCCCAGGGGTCTAAGTATAGGGGTGCAACTGCTACTCTTTGGGGTTCAAATGAAGGGTTCAACACTTAGTCCTTGAGGGAGACTAACGGGTGGGGTGCAACAGTTACTCCTGTCCCCGTTAGTCCCCAAGGGGACTAATGGTAGTGGGAGCGCATTTACTCCCCGGAGGGACTAAGTCACGCTCCTTTTTTTTAGAGTGTATATCATCGTCGCGACGTGAAGGAGAAAGCCTTCAGCGACTTGCGCAAGCGACGAGGACCAGCTTCACGGGTATATATACAAAATAAATATTCCTAAGTGCATTTACGCTAAATCACATCGCGCCCAAATTTTCACGTCTTTAAAGCACACATTCAACATAATTGTGCTTGCGACCGAGATAATACGACATTGTATTACTTCTGTTATTTCGAATATCGCACATCGTGTGCTTCTGTAGCCGACTAACTCAACCATGTGCATGCGTGTGTGCGCACACGCAAGCGGGGAAGCGGTCTTGATCGCCTCCACGCCTGCAAGCGCGTTGTTTTGTTACTTCTATCGTTTGTGATGCCCTCTGGACAAACGAGTGCCTTCTTTGTGTAGATTATTGTGTATTTGCGAAACTCGCCTCATGGCCTACTTATATCCCTTGCTACTTTGTAGCTTTTTTCTTCTTTTTTTTTTTTTTTTGACCAACCACTGCCTTTGCTGAAAAGAGCCGACAGCTGTATTCTAGAAAGGTTACTCCCATGTTGATACCGTTGATAGTACGGAGCGCATCAAGCTCGTTTATCATCCACAAATGACAGGTTTGATTGTACTCAGACCAGTTTAATGTTTAATGACTTTCGTTTTATACAGGGGGGGGGGGGAGGGTAATAAAAGAACGGTTTTTGAACCTGAGCTCCCAATTTAACAGGGATCGCAAGAAAGTGAAGAGCTCAGAAAAATCTGGGACAAGCCCCGATGATGTGTATCTGCCAAGGTTGATACACTGTCGGGAAATGCTCTTTCTCCAGAGTGCATGCCCACAGCACGGCATTGAGTCAAATAGGGCTCCTTTAGGTGAAAGCAATAAACGAGAGCAGTATTCACAGCCACACGATTATTTGTACAGAGAACCTCTTTGTTCAGGTACTTCCATGGTTGAGAATGATAGCTAGTCTATGTTTCAATGGGCGCAAATGAAGAACTTAGGTGTTTACCATGTAAATATTACATGGTATTATTATAAATATTATTATAAAACCGGAGAGTGCTCGCACACTGAATGCACTTATTTCCTAAAAAGTATACAGTGAGATAAAAGGCATATGCTTCACTTATTTGCCCGCTTCACTTATTTGCTTGAAATAACAGGAAAGAAAAATTTTGGGAAAAAATTAACCACTGTATTTAAACTGCCAAAAATATGTGCACAGTGTCTACACATTGTGGCAACTATCGAAGCATGTAATTCCAGGTTTACATTATCTTCTCACACCAAATAGGGAATTACTGGTGCTAATGTGTAACAGAAGAACTTGTAGCACGATTAGAATTTCCTGAAGAATGTAATATGTGTCCTTTTTGAAAGACAGGAATGGCTTGTCAGTTATATATATATATATATATATATATATATATATATATATATATATATATATATATATATATATGGGTGGTTTCAATTGGATTCAGCCAACGAGGTGCAGTCGTGTTTATATTTTGCTTCAAATTTTTATATTACGTGGCGCATGTTCCAAGAAGAACAATCCTTTGTATTTTAATGTCCCGACATGTTTAGTTTCTGAGAAAAAAGAAATCTTAAAGAACCGGGAAAGAACGACGAGGTTTTGCCGATTGTCATGTGTGGCGTTTTTTTAATCACTCTCAATGTCGAAGTAATCAAAAGAGAGTGTTTATATTTTTGTATTGTGACATATATGCAAATAGGTAAGACTATATTATAACTATTACTTGTTATTCGTCGCTCCCATTTTTGTGAAAAACTTCCTAAGCATGCCTTCGCGAACAACTGTGACCTAAACTGCGGATTTTTTTTTTAGTCGACTATGTTTAGTATTGCTTTTAAAACAATACCACGTGTAGAACCTTTCATTGCCTTCCACATTATGCAAAGTTTGTGTCTTAATTGTGTACGAGTACTGAGAAATAAATTATGAAACAAAAAAAGGTTTTTCCCTGGACACGGGCTCGCCACGCACAGCCAGGCGTGGGTGAGTCTTACCCACTTTTTACTCGGGGTCTGTAATGTAGCCAATGTGGCTGGGGTCCGTGGTGTCGCTACTCACCAAGCACCTAGCACCTAAGGCGCAGGCGCCCCCTGCGGGGCTCAGGGTCCGTGGAGACGCCGCTCTCCAAACACCTGCTTTCACAGGTGCCCCCTGCGGGGTATTTCAGTTGCTTCACCCCCAATTGACGTGAGTTTGAACTGTACACGCCCATCTAAAGCATGACGGGCGGCAAGAAGCACGCACTGGAGATCAGTAGTCCGATAGAAAGACACTGTGCGTTTTGACTTGTTACTGAGTATAGTTAATTTATTAATTAAAATTTCAATTAGCGTCAAGAAGTTTGTGTGACTCTTTTTGGTGGTCCCTTTCCGGGACGTCACGGAACTTTTTCCTGAGTCACCTAGCGATAGCCCGGTAATGGCTGATGTTAACTTCGAATATTCTTTCTGCTTGGTCTTTGAATAGCGTGCGTACAGTTTAATTCGTGCGATCCTAATATCACGGGAACAACGTCGCTTTTCTCACTGTGATGTCATGGAGAGACAGAGCAGCCAATCAGCACGCTGCAACTACCAGCAATGGTTGTGTTCGTTCTCAGGGCTAATAGATTTCGAAAATATTGTGCTTGACTGGTATCCGTTGAATAAAAAATTACTTAATGTGTTTTTGGAGGGTCATGCCAGGATTCAGGAAACTCCTGTATTACAAATCTATGTGCCTGTCTCGGCCGCGGGGGAGAGGGGAGACACAGTTTTGTAGAGGCATGCGGACTTTCAACCCATAGACGAGTAAACCTTTTTGTAAATTAATACATCTATATTATTTCTTTAATAAAGATGCGAGTGTTTTTCTTGGTTCATATTATATGAGCGAATGACGTTTTAGCGATTAGAAAATATTTGAGCGGACGAACGTTTCTGCGAATGCCATTTTAGCGAATAGGCTGTTTTTCGGCGGTGACGAGCTAGGCTTTTAAACTGGCGCGGTTACCCCTTGCTGTCGATCAGGGGAAACGAAGCTGGTATATGCTACAGCGTGCATTCGCTGAAATGAAGTGGTTTTATATTCATTCGCTAAATCGTCGTTCGATTAACTTTTGGTTTTTCTCCGAAACAAAGTACCTAAGGGTGTCTTTTTACCTGCTTTGCTCACGGTTTACAGAAGACCATATCCTCGTCGGTAGAGTAGCAAAAGGAATGCTGGGTCGATTGCCAAATCAGCACGCTCTTTGGGACCTTCTTTTTTGGCATTGTTGAAAAGCTTCAGGCAGCGAAAGCGAAGAGCAGCAAACCACAGGTCACCGGGCACAATAACGTTAGAGACCGACGCGCACGCGAACGGAGCAAACAACGCGCTTCCTATTCCCTTCGCCTCACATGTAGGCTGGCACGCACGCACACGCGCATACACACACAACCACACACGCTCGCTCACTTGAAAAAAAAAAGAAAAGGAACTGACTACAGTGACGGGGCCCCTCACTTTAAAAACTGCACTATGGTGACGGGGTAACAGCAATTGATACAGATGTCCAATGGATTGTACGTTCCGGAATTTTAGTCGCGTCAGCGTCACTGCAAGAAAGTGCAAAACCTTTGCAATGAACCTTCTGAATGAAGAGAAGGCCGATATAATTTTTTTACAAGAAACCAAGATTTGTTCGCCGGAAAAGGCCAAGAGCTTCGCGCAATTTTTCGGCAACATTTTTTGGTGTGTACACACACATTAACGGCGAACCGCGCCGGAGGTTGTGCCATTCTGATAAGGAAAACCACGGGAATCGGGATGGTTGAGCCGGCCCTTTGCGCGGACGGGCGGTTCACATTGGCTGACTGTGTCATCGAAAACAAACTAATTCGACTTACTGAGCACCACGACCGAGCGGAGAGTTTTTTTCACGGAGCTTTGTGTCCTCCTCAAGACCCCTGCGGTGCTCATTGTCAGCGGCGACTTCAACTGCGTGCTTAATGCGCAAGACAGAGTGCGCGGATCAACAGCCAGAGTGCGCGGATCAACAGCCCCTAGAGCCGACGCGGGCGCCAACACGCTTCGCGATGCCGTGCGTGATTTCGACATCATGGACGTCACCGAGGTGTTGGACAGTTTTTCGCCACGCTTCCCCCGATGGCAAGGGCCCTCCCAGACCAGACTGGATCGAGTGTACGTCTTGAGCGAACTCGGCGATCGGATCCAATCTTACGACGCAAAACTTGAGCCTTTCTCTGAGCACGGCTTCGTCGCCACCGTGCTCCAATCCGGAGGGTCCGGGCCCAGGCGGGCACGACGAGACACCACGTGGAAAATGAACGTCAGCGTCTTGGAGGAGGAGAAGTTTGTGAAGAAAACGACGCACGCACTGGAAGGGCTTGCCGAGTGTGGCGAGGATACGGTTTCCTGGGAACAGTTTAAGGAGCAGCTCCGAGAGTCCGCCTCCACATTCGGCCGTCGAAGGGCTGCCGAGGCACGCCAGGCACGAGACCACTTCACAACGACCCTGAAGATTCTTCTTACAGAAGAAGAACAAGACCCCGAGGTCTTTCGGGAGGATATAAAAAACTGTAAGTATCAGCTGCTCGGACTTCTGGAGGAACGCTATAAAGGGCCGCAGGTGAGGAGCAGGGTGAAAGCACTCGAGGAAGAGATACAGTCATCCAAGATTTTCCGCACGCACGAGAGACGGAGAGCGGCTTTCACACAGTCTCAGCCGAGACGCTGTTTCTAGCAAGCCCGCCCATGTGTAATTTAAGGTAGGAAGCTCACACTGGAGGCGGCACCATTGAAAGATCTTGACATTTTTATTTTGTCAATGACTATTGGGGGGTATCGGACTGTCGAACCCCTAGTGGCCAACTTGAAAACTCAACCCATTGGACCAACAAGGGCAATAATTATTTGTTGGTATGTGATACAGCGTTCGACAATGAAAAGATAATGAAAAGAATCTTATTCGTAAGCCTTGTGTTCGGTAAACACAGCAGCTCCGTGGATAACAAGCTGGACAAAGCGCTTCTTTACGTAAAATACTGAGCAAGCGCCCACTCAAAATTTAGAGATAATCGCGAAAAATTGTGGGATGGGTGCTTGTCCGGTCATCAATTTTACATATCAATGTACTATGCGTATTTTCATAGATCTTACAAATTTCGGAATGGGCGCTTAGTGAGGAATGGGCGGATGCGCGGCATTCTACGGTAGTTAGATCTCAACGCCAATAGCATGCCAAAGCAAAGGACTGAAGATCCCTTTTAATCACAATTACAACTAGAAACTTCAAATTCTCAATAAAATGCTTAGTAGTAAGAGTTAGAGTAGATCACCTAAGTTACAGTAGTGTGCATAGCATCAAAACCTGTGTCCAAAACAAACTCTGAAAGATGCCCAATCTCGTTCTCATTCCACATTAACTTTGGTGGGAGGTTGTTAAACTACACATTATGGTCAATCATCTTGAGCTAAATCAAACGAAGGCCCCTGATGGAGCCTAAACAAGCATCCTTTGGGCCACACACTGCAGTAGATGTGGTCAAAGTTTTCAATCGTGGCACTGTGGAAATAATTATTGAACAAAAACCTGACGGTTCTCTCTTCCTAGGTACGATGCCGCTCGTTAAAATATGCAGTGCAAATCTCTCTGTGGGAAACGTGAAAACGATGACCGACGTCGTAACAATTGCTAAAGAATAAGACAAATGCACCTCAGAGAAGTCTAAAATAAGACAATACAATTTTTATTATTCCTTTCAGTTACATTAAAAAGATTATTTGTTTTGACAGGTGTTCCTGCAAGACTGGACTGAACTTGAGGATAGGCATTCGGTGGACTGCTTTTGGAACTACCGCTTGATCAAAGAGTATTCACTGTGGCAGAAAAACCATCATGCAAAGCAATTGACGAAACACAAGCACGTATCTCTTTTGTGCATGATGTTCCAGATTGAATTTTTCTGATCCAAGCATGCCGTAAAATATTAAGCAAGCACCCACCCAAAAGCTGGGCATAACCAAAAAAACATGGGGTTTGGTACTTCTAGGTCTATCATCAGAAAGGCAGCAGTGGCACATGGTGGGCCAAGTGCAAGTCAGCTGGTTAAGTATTTCAAATGTAATGTTTAGTCACTGGAAAAGTAACTGAAGAGATATCTTGCAACCCACATAAGGAAAGCTTATAAAACTTGTGTTCAATTATGATGTACAGTCGGGGACAAAAGTCTCCAGGACACGCGAGCTACGACTGAAACGCATTGCTCTGCCATCTGCCGGTGGGTCGCCTGGTTTCGAGATCACAAAAAAGCGCATGCGCGTCCTACTGTGCGTGCCAACATGTGCGCTTTCCCGCTCTTCTGCGGCGCGGCGCCTAACTCGGAATCGGGCGCGGGGTACCGCCTCGGAGATAGCGCTTACTGACATGGCACCTATAAAGCAAGAAGTCACGGAAACTCAACTGAGCGATAAACTCAACTGTTTATAAAGCAAGGTGCGCTGACACAGCGAAATGCGGCGCAATGCTCCAGGCGGTATCTCGTGTTTCGGAATGTGTAGCAGACGCTCGTAAGCCGCCAGCGCTATCTCCGAGGCGGTACCACGCGCCCGATTCCGAGTTAGGCGCTGTGCCGCAGAAAAGCGGGAAAACACACATGTTTGCAGACAGAGTAGGACGCGCATGCGCTTTTGTGTGATCTCGAAACCAGGCGACCCGCCGGCAGATGGCAGAGCAATGCGTTTCAGCCGCAGCTCGCATGTCCTGGAGACTTTTGTCCCCGACTGTACATCTGTAAATAAACCAGTGTGCTTTCAATCAATTTTGCATCTTAAAATTATGCTCTGAACTAGAAGATAGAAGTCAGCACCTCATTAAAAACAGAAATGTCGTTATAGCTCTAAACCTACTACTTAGAAAGGCAATGTTAAGAAAAAAAAAAACTAGGTCTTACAGTAACACAATTTAAAACAGTGTATCAGTAAAGAAAAGAAATTGGGGGTTTCACTGATCACGACTTGCACTTGTGCCAGACTTTTTCTTTCCTCCGCCTGTAGAGATAAAGGAAACAACACGTCAGACTGTGATTGGTATGATATGGCTTAATGCAGGTACATCTGGTGTGCAGCAAAGGGGGCTCTCATCTGAACGACTGCTTGAACTGGAGACAACGGGTTTTATTTTACAACTGGAACTCCTCCCATGCAGCGCACACGATGCATGAGTAGCGGGCAAAGCACTAATTACCAGGGACCGGCTAGAGCTTGTCAGGATCGTCATAAACGCCTTAATGAAAAAGTCATCACGGCCCTCAAGAGGCTGCATCAGGTGTGTAGCCAAAGAACTTGTAAAAACGTTTCCGGCATCACTGGAAGATCGAGAGATTGACGGACAGATGATAGGCACAGGATATAATTCGCTTTTCTGTCAATTAGAAAACTGGACCGAAAACCTATACCGGGAAAACCGTTGTCAGCTCCTAAAGCACAGGAATCTCACCCACAGAGAAAATGTCCTAAATCCTCTTATGGCTGCTTAAATTGGCAACCCAAGTCATCGGATGAGGGGGACATTCATGACGCCAATGAAAACAAGAAGTGGATAAAGAGAGAAGCCCCAAGTCAACGAAGGACGTTGGCCTGTCCCAGGCAATGGAACTTTCAGAAGCTACATATGGTGATCAAAGAGCGTACATCAACAGCGTGAATCCCATACACTCTGCGAGACAAGTGAAGGAGTGGCCTCTCCTTTTTCATAAACCTCTGTCTAATGCGCATGTGAAAACCGTGCTGGGAAAGAACATAGAGGTAAGCAACTTGCCCTCTAATGTTTTTACTGGTGCATCTTCAAAAAGCAGCCAGTCAGTAGCAAATAGCACAGAAATGCCCGATACCAGATAGTTTACTCCCAGCAGTCCGCCTACAAATTGGTGCTGCTGAGTTAATTTACCTATATAAAGTTCAAAATAAACAGCACTCTCCATTGAAGGACAGGTGCAGCGCTTTAGCCTGTAACGGTTCTTTCATTAGGATGTGAATGTGACAGGGAATAAAAGCTCTTCCAGAAATTTAGTACAATGCATCCAAAGCATAACAAAAAGTCATGAACAAAAACTTTCTCATTATATTAATTTTTTTAAAATTTTCCTATTCCTAATAAAAGTGAATGAAATATGCTCATTTGGGGCAACAACTTGGTATTGGGCACAATTTGTTGTCTCTATACCCTGTTCTAGGAATGTGGGAAATCATTAATGACATGTTCGTGCTAACTAATTTGCACGGCATATTTACTACCGTAAAATCCCGCACGGGCGCTTAACCAAAATGAAGAGATGATGTTGTTGATTACGCTTTATGGCGCAAAGCTACTATGGCCATACTGTGCCAAGCTTGTTTAGTTAAGACATACTCAGGACTTTTTTACACAAATTATATAAAAAAAGGTTCATGTGACAAGGTTAAAAGACAGAATTAAAATTACAACTCCAGTAGGAAGCCAGTTTTTCTTAAGTAATTTATGACACAATCAAACAGTACTATAGGAGTCTCCCCAATTAGCTGCACTGGGTGAAAAGGAATCTGGTGTGAAAAATGCTCGGGGAAATGTGTACGTCGCTCTTGCTCAAGCCCTGGGCACAGCCACAAAATATGTAAAATTGTTAAACGATCCCCACAGTCATCACACAGGGGTGGGGCTTCCCCCCTGAGCCGATGTTTGTGGGTGAGGTAGGAGCGTCCAATTCTAAGACGACACAAAAGAACTTCAAGGCGGCGGGTTTTGTGGGATGCACTCTCCCACATACCGAGAGCTGGTTTAATCCTGTGAAGTTTGTTTTCACATTCCAGACTCCACTCTGATTGCCATAGCTGGAAAACTAGTGATTTTACCAAGGGCTTCATGTCTTGAAATGGAATCTGTGAGGTAGTTGGCAGTAGGTGCTTAGAGCTAGTGGCCAATTCGTCTGCTTTTTCGTTACCTAGGATTCCCATATGGCTAGGCACCCAGCAGAATTTTATGTCTCGGCCAAGCCGCAGACCACATTGTACCTTAGATCGGACAAGTTGTCCCAGTCTATTTTTAGTTCCCTTCATTGAGCAAAGTGTGGTGAGCACACTTTGAGAATCCACAAATAAAATAGATTTCATCGTCTTGCTGGTGAGAATATACTCCAAGGCCATCAACACTGCATAGAGCTCTGCCGTGTAAATACTTGCACATTCCTTGCGATGCTGAACCTTACTGAGGCCTTCAGAGGAAACTGCTGATCCTACAAAATGCAATGATTTGGCACCATCGGTATAAAATTGGGAGTAGTTACTGTTATGTATGTTGACTAACAGCCAGCGCCCCCTGGCTCCGGTGCTCTTGTGGCAACCTGCCAAGGACGAAGTGATGTGGCGTGCTCTCGAACATTCCATCGAACATTGACCACAAGCAGCATCTCATTTCTATGTTCAAGACTGTGCTCTAAATAAACGTAGTCTGATACATAACATGGTGTCAGAAGTGAACCGGTAGACGCACCGACGCACAAGCCGCCATCGACGCACCAAAGACGCAATGCAACGACGCACCAGCCGCAACATGGCAGGTGTCTTCATCCAGCCGCCATCGGCGTTCGAGCCCAACACGGAAAACCCAGCGATCTCGTGGGTTTTCCGCATGGAAAGCACTCCTCCTCCATGTACTTGGACCACAGACACTGATATACCAAACGTTTCCACCGCCTCCAGCCTTACCCGCAGAAGCCGCAGCCTCCTTCAACGACGTCGAATATATCTTAGAGCAGTTTGACGCGCTACACCAACCGTACAAGAACGTAACCCAAGCAACTGCATCTTTAACTCGATGGCACAGCAGGCGGGCCAGTCCATTGATGATTTCGTCACCGAGCTCCGACTTCAGGCTCAACATTGCGACTTCGGCAGCACAAGGGATCGGCTCATTTGTGACAGGATTATCGTTGGGATCCAAGACTCAGCACTTCGCGAACAGCTTTTCCGTGAGCAGAACCTACTCTTGAAAGAATAATATCAACCTGCAAAGCCACAGAAATATATAAAAAAAGTCAAGGATCTCCAGGCAACTGCACCTAAGACGGTGGTGGACGAGATGCATCGAAACAATTGGCGAGATGCCAATTTTGACCGCGAACAACGGCGCCGGTACAATTACCCGACGCAACAGCAACAACGTCCGCCACAACCGCAACAGCATCCACAGCACCCGCCTACAACCCGGCCATGTTCGAGGTGTGGTATGGTGCATGCCCCTAGAAATTGCCCTGCCTATGGGAGCAGCTGCTTTCAATGCGGGAAATTTGGACACTTTGCATCTGTATGTCAACAAACAAGATCTGGCCCAGGGAACCACATATCCAGTCTTGGCAACGACGGTTTCTTTCTGGGACAGCTGACAGTGGACAACGTTCAGACAACCTCTTGGACGGCCACAGTTGATGTTCACAAACAAGGTCACCTTCAAACTGGACACAGGCGCTGACGTAAACGTCCTTCCCAGGTATGTTCTTCGGAAATGGAGTCAACCACCAAAGGTAGAACCCACCTGTGTCAGGGTCTTCACCTACACTGGTGATTATCTGCCGATCAGTGGCGAGTGCATCTTACAAAAGACAAGAGACCTTAGCTGCAACTTGAGATACCTGGTTGTGGACCTTAATGGTATCCCGATTCTTGGTGCTGAGGCATGCCAGGATCTTCAGCTGATACAGCGACTTCGGCACCTGGACTTGTTGAGCGAATCAACCGACGCTGGAGCACCTACTGCAAAGTATTTGGCCGCAACTGACGTCATCAAGGACTTTCAGGATGTGTTTACTGGAATCGGTCAGCTTCCGGGAACTGTGGCAATCACGCTCCAAGACGGAGCAGTACCTTTTGTCGCTGCTCCCCACAGGATTTTACTAGCTATCATAGAGAAAGTAAAGGCGGAGCTTGACAAGATGCAA